TTTTTTCTTTTTTTTTTTCAATAAAAGATTATTATTTACTTTTCATTCACTCTTCTTGTACCCTAGAATATCCCAGCCATCTAATTGATGAAAAAAAAATAAGAATTTTTTGGATAGTCTTTAAATTTTTATTGCAGTTACGCAAATGGTTAATTTTACAGAAACCAACAAAAACTAATAAAGTATTATCATTTCTTTATAATATTGCATTCCACTTCCCTCGATCGAGTATTCTTGCGTCGTATCAACGTACCTTAGGCAAAGCTGAGCCAGTGACTGTTGGTAGCAGGGACATTTTGCGTAGGAGTAAAAAACCTACATTATGCGCTGCTATATGCCATATACATATGTGTATATGTAGTAGGCATATGCCCTACTCTCATACACGCCAGGCTTTTTTCACCATGGAACAACTGCCAGGGGAAGGTGTAGTTTTTATGCTCGCGACATTCATTTTAATTATCTGTTTACTAGGGCACATTAACTGTAAGAAATATAATATACATGCGGCCGATGAGTTGGCGAGGCCTGAAGTGTATGAAAAAATTTTGCTTTTGTTGCCGTCAATTTAACCCTTTAGCTATTATGCGTGACTACAATGGAGTCCCACGATATAATTGTTTAGGATGAAACGTCATTATAGTGACCTTGTTTTTAGCTATTATGCGTGACTACAATGGAGTCCCACGATATAATTGTTTAGGATGAAACGTCATTGCAGCTTTTACATATCGACGTGCTTTACAAAAAGTAACATATTTCATTTTGGTAATTATGCATAAAGGGGGCAACCTCATGTATGACCTTGACCTTGACATATGTTGTCTAGGTAATCATCCTAAGTACCCTTGACCTTGAAAACATTGGCGATCACGATCAGAAGTTATGAACCGTCAAAGTTTCCATATACCGTATAAGAGAAGATACATATTTGAAAGAGTGATCGGAGTAGGTCTGAGGCTAGACTCGTTGGCGGCGAGGGGGTTTGGGGGAGGGTCGGCAGCCCCGGTCGGCCACACTGCCAGTTTGCTGAAAAAACACAAACAGCTGACAAGTCTTCTAAAATATAAATTCGCTCTTTCCAAAAACAAAGTGTTAGGTACACCACCTCAAGTAGAAACTCGTCTATTGTTTTGGGGAGGGGACGCTGCCCCACCCCCAAACCCCCTCCGCGCTAGCGAATTTAGTCTCTTACCTGGTCCGATCACAATTTCAAACATGTTTCCTTATTTATTATTACTGTTTTATTCCAATATTTGAACATAATCGTCCTGTGCAATGGGATACATCGCCGTCATTGCACGAAAGCACGCTTCTATGCGATCGTTATAATTATAATGCCGTTTTCCAACAAGAATGTAGATCGTCGGAGGAATGTAAACAAAGCTTCGGTCGAAATATTGGCATTATACCGTACTTCCGTGTTGTATGAGACGGAAACTTTAACGGTTCATAACTTTTGACAACATATGTCAAGATCAAGGGCACACATGAGGTTGCCCTCTTTATTCATAATTACCTTCATTTTTCATACAAAGAACAGCACGTCTGTCTTCGTTATCACGAAAAATATCACGTTTTTCAAAAAGCTAGCATATCTGCATGGTTGACTACGAAAAGAAGCACATTTCTCCTTTCGCTACGAAAACTAACACGCTTAAGTGATTTCTCGCGAAAAGTAGCATGTTTGAATGATTTGCAACGAAAGGAAGCATGTTTCTCCATTCACTACGAAAACTAACACGCTTAAGCGATTTGTCGTGAAAGGTAGCATTTATCGTTTGCAGCGACTTAAATTATGCAGATTGAAATTTACATATTTTTTCCTTCTGGAGATTAGATGGAGTTATTATTTATTAGACAATATTTTCAGAGGTAGAACTTTTCAATGCAGAAGCGTTTGAACCATTTAAACTGACTACTTAATGTGCTACTATCCATTGTTAAATACAATCCGTTTCACAAGAGCGTTCAATGTCTGGAAAAACAATTGATGTTTTTCAAAAATTCAAAAACAGGCTTATAGTACATCTAAAACATTACAACGCAATTACCGAATATAATGCATAATTCTTTCATTTTCGAGTATAGTCTCTATGCTTCTGCTCAAGTTTTTCGCGTACCCATCAGGGAATGTCCTCCATATTTATTTAATTCGGCGGAATAGCTGGTTTTAAGTAAGTGTAGGTCTTCCACAAAGCTTAAGTTTAATGATACTCTTGACATTTTCAATCGGATTAACGTCTAGTGATTGTGAAGGCCAGTTTAGTGTTTGGATATCATTTTCCATGTTCCACGAAGTGAACAGCCAATTCCGGTTTTTTGGATCATTAACTTCTTGTAATACCCAAGATGAATTATCTTTACCAAACCACTATCTAGTAGACTTCAATACTTTGTTTTCTTTTGAAACATTTAAAATTTTCCCAAATTTAAAAAAATTTAAAAATGGGTTTGTCAACATTCATTGCAACCCTATACCATTTCACTCACTTCTTTAGGAACTCGTTTGACTTTTTCGTGTTACGAGCCGCCAGCGTTGAGAAGGTCAATTTAGGTTTTTTCGGATGTGTGCAAAGAAACACTGCTTCAAACCTAATCTTAATGACGCGTAGTAATGTTTTAGATGTTCTATAAGACTGTTTTTGAATTTTTTTAAAATATCAATTATTTTTCCAAATGTGCCAACGCTCTTGCCAAACGTGCTAATATTTATAAGAAACGATGAAATGTGCTTCTTTGCATGGCAAACTGAAACGTGCTGTTCTTCGTAAGACACATGAAACGTCCAATTTTCGTAACCCACGTGAATATAATAAATACTATTAAGTGACGTTGTGTAGGCACTGACGGTAACCACAATCGTTTATTTGTTGCATAAAACAAACGGACATATTTCTCTATTAATATTAGAGCGAGCAATAATAATTAATAATGATAATAAAAATAGGTATACTCTATTTTTTCACCATAGTTACGTTTTACAAAACTATTCATTTCTTGCAAATCGACAATCGTTTATAATTTAGATTATTATTTTTCAAGAAAATGTTTTTCTTCTCTTATTTATATTCAGCAAATTAAGACGACTATTAAAATGTTTTACAATAAAGAGATTATATGTACAGTGAATGATGTATATGTATATGTAGATATTATACATATGTATAGTACATATGTATGTATAATGATACGATCGGAAGGGCATCATTCTATTTTATAGTCAGGTATTTGTTGGGTCTCCTTCTTGCTGGATATCATTATATTATGTTTACAGAAATTTAGTCGTTCAATCGGTAATACTATCTTCCTTATTCTTCATTATCATCTATCCGTCTCCCTTTCACTCTTCCACGAGCTCATTGATCTTTTCCTTAAAGAACTTTCATTCCCTCGATTCGTGATATTCTTGAATACCGTTATTGATCATTACACTTCCCAGTGACGTAATTCTGAAACGATTTGAATAACTGGTAATCAGGCGGCTTTGAATTGAATGAATACAGAAAATATACTCTATAATTTTCCAATTTCATGCTTTCACTTTTCCAGAAGTATTCAAATACCGCCCACAATCCAGCGTCGTTCTAATGAAAAACAACTAATTTTATGTAGATAAGTGTGTAGCCGTTTATTTTATATCTTTTAGAAGCCAAACATTCTTCAGCATAAATGTAACTATTTATCCATAGGTTTAACTATTTATTTAAAGGATGGCTATTTTTCAAAGCAATATATGTTGTATTCTCTTTCAATTTTTTCACTCATAATCAGCAAATGAATAACGTAGATATCAAGTTCTATGACCATCAAACTTTATCGTATAGATACTGTGTATATTATGGTTATACAACAATTTACCAAAATTTTCGCTTGTGAATCATTTTCATTCATTTTCTTCAATCAGCACTGGACTGCGGATTTTTATGCGAAATGACATTTTCTACAGTAATTCATAAAGTCAAAAGCAATGGTACGAATTTCTTGTTTTTCGTAAGTATCTTATTGGGTTCAGAAGAAAGTAGAAAAACCGTTGGATCTGATGAAAGTTTTCTCTTTTATTGTATTTCACAGACTCCTATAGGCTATAAATGCATAAAATCCGCAGTCTAATCAACACGTACAAAGAGCAGAAACTGTATTTTACTATACAGACCACGATGTTATAAATACCAATCATTTCAATACTACTTGCAAATCATCTTCATCCATTTCTTCCAATAATCTTGGCGGCAGCATAAAACTTATCTCGCTTTGACAGACGTCAAGTTAACGAATTTCTCTACTTGCTACCATTGCTTTTAGATTTTTAGGTTTTATAAAACTACTTTTTGCTGGTTGTACAACCAGTTACGGAAGACTGTATAATTGCGACTGATGTGAGAGTACTATACTAACAACTTTTTACCACTTAATTATTCTAAGAAATTTTATGATAAAATTTTGGAATGACAATATTTTTCCATCACTATTAAGTTGTTGCACATGAAATGATCGTTTTATTACCGGAACTTGATATTATATTGAATATTATCAATATATACAATATTACAATTATATTTCATTTGACAAAGTAAGATTAAATAAACTCTATGCACATTTTTCATTGAAATACAAGCGTTACATTCATGTTATAATAAGTACATAATTATTACACCGAATTTAAAGATGACTCTTCAAAGACATTTTTATCTGCCATCTTTCCGCCGAATGTTGTCATCTATAAATAGTATTTTTCAGCAAAAACTTACATTTTTTAATGCACGTGAAGGAAATAGCAGGATTAACTTTAACACAATTGATGTTATTGTTATGTTAGATATTACCTTGAAATGAGTTCAGCACACTGTGTAATTGTACAATAATGAAAGGAGCATTGTTACTAATTTTCATTCATAAAAGTAACGGTAAATCTACCTACCAGCAAAATCGCCCATTTCATGTGCAACATCCTAATATTTTGAATAATCAATTTTCTGAAACTGTATCTCTTTTTACAGGTACATGGCCATCATGAGGCCCCTGAAGCATCGTATATCACGAAAGCTAACAGTGTTAATTATGATTTTAATATGGGCAGTTGCTTCGACACTGGCTTTGCCGTGCCTCTTATATTCAACAACGAAATCGAAGAGGTAGTCACAGTCATAAATTATTTCTAGTCATACTTTTGCTGAAGCCTGTTAAAAGTTCGTGTAAGTTTCTTATATCAGTTGCAAGGAAGCATCACGTTTATTTCATTAATTTTTGTTGGACAATAGAAATATTCACCGAAAAATATAATTTTATAGTAGGTACGTATCAGGCTTGGGCAGCCATTGTTTAAAGTAGAAAATGAATAATACTACTTTGAAATAATGTTTCAAATAAACTAAAACGCAATTTTGAATTGAGAAATATCGTATTTTATACATGTTCCTAACATAGAGTACAGAACGATGAAATGTTACGCTTTTGTAATGTGACAAGGTTACCTCCTGGTATTGTTCTAACTAGAAATATATTATCTGAGTTGCGACTGTTTTGCGATAAATCTGTTATTGTGGCAAATGAAATAAGCTTCCTTACGGGTAGTGACAATTTTGTTCATGTTTTGGAAACCATGGAGCATTCCTTCTTCCAGCAATCCATAAAAGCTGTGAAAGCATTTTAATACACATTTATAAAGAATGAAAACAAAATTAGCAACATGTAATTTTTCATAATTCCTTATTATAGTTAGTCCTTGTTACACTTAAATATGTATCTGCTACAGTGCAACATTTGCTAAATCGTTCACGCGTCTGTAAACGCGTTTATCCAAATACAAAATAAGATAATCAATTATTTGATTTTAAATTAAATTAATGGCATTATTTCGACGAAAATAATGCGCTTTTGTCAAATAAAATACCGTAAAAATGCATGAAAATAATTGCTAATCAAGTAAGATATATTATTCAGATACCTACTGATTTTTTAAATACTTTATTCAAATAACAATTTTCTAAACATTTTACTCGCATAATGCCCAAGGCTGATACACATAATAAGTATGTTTTCATACATATAGCATGCCTCGTACCTGATGGTACAACTAAAACTATGATGATTAGACAGCAAATGTTTTACGAACACTCAAATATTTCTATACTAATTCAGATAAACGAGACATGCCTACTCATAAATCAACCGTCTTCATCAATGTTTGTGATAGGTCGAATTAAAACGAATGATTTGATTAATCGCATTTAACACTAGAACTACGACGATTAAAATATTATGACAATACATTTTCTCAGATCTTTTGCACCTTTTATTACGACATGAGAGTGAAGAAATTAGTCAATTTCTAAATTTCTAAATTTTCAAAAGTTTTCCATGTTTATCCAGCGATCGAAGCAAATATGTGTTTATCGTCCGTAGTTCTAGTGTTAAGCTCCCTGTTGCATTATGTTTGGTATATTCAAATATTTTGTGAAAGCATAAAATCCGCAGTTTAATGATGATTCTACATGAATAATATGAGACAAAAATATAAAATAAAACATTTTCGTAACCATATCTGCTTTCAAGAAAATTATAGTAGGTATTCGAATTTCAGACAAGTAGGTATGTACGTGTGCACTGAAGCACAGTTGCGAACGTTCGAAGGGTAAAGTGAGACAAGGAGAGCTATTCTCAATTACCGTAGTTTGAAATCACGTTCTCCAAAATCTCGAGACTTACTCCCATTTGGACACGTATCTTAAAGGAGTCCCTACTTTGACCCCCATCAAAAGTAGGTCATCTTCACGAATACTTCTTGAGAAGTACTTATAAACCGTTTGTCCCTAATTCGCTAACCAGATGGGATCATCGTAAAAAATGAACTGGAAGTTTCTGACATAAAAAGGATCGACAAAGGAACTTCCGAACTCTTTAGATAAAAAAACTATGACGAACTTCTGACACAGAGCAAGTCGTTTAAATCAATCCTCCCGAATACCTTCGAAACCGTTGACGTATAACAATACAGATTTTAACTCTTCTGGTAAATTAATAGCCTTAAACTCGTTACTCTCTATCACATTATGGTTAATAAAAGGGTATAACACTGTATAAAATAATAATATAATTAACAATGGAAAATCCTTGAACAATAGTACACAATAATTTAATATTGTAACTCGATATGATATATTTTGAAACAAGGAACCACGCACAACCCAACATCACACATTCTTCACATTGGTAACGCGATTCACGTTTCTTATCATTCTTGTTAAGAACAACACATGTTCGTAATATATTTTTTCCTGTCAACTTATAAAGTGAAGGAAAATGTCTTCCGTTAGGTCTTGACGTTTCGTGACATCTGAACAGAAATAATCTTGTGTGTTATATTTTTTTCAAAGTTCAAATATATACATATACAAAATGGAATATGTACCTACTTTATCTCATATTGCCTATTATATGAAAGGAAAACGTAACGGCAATCATCATATTAAAAAAAAATCTAATTCAGAAATAAGAAAAGAATAAGGACACTAGAATAAGAGTCTGAACAAGAGACAGCCACTTTTGATAGGTTCGCCATATCTTTGCTACTCTTTAGCAATAGCTCTTTAAATCTATTAATTACACTAATCTGAATTGTAACACAATTTTAAGAAACTAAATGTTTGATAATTAGTATAACAGATTTTTCGTCATATAATTACTAATTTCTTAGATTTATTTATCTTAAAATGAAAAATTAGATAGTAATAAACATAACATATGTATGTTTACAGAATTTTATTTGATATAATCATACTATTAACTTACCCACGTATTTTTCATATAAGTATTATGCTTGCATTATTTATTTACAATAATTAAATAAAGTAACATAAATAATGTGAAATAAATAAAGTAAAAAAAAATTAATTTGACCTCCATATGCCTTCTACACGTTCAACTACAAAAGAACAGCTGGCATCATAGTATTTCCTACTCAATACCATTCAACTTTTATCTGAAACATTTTTCGTTATCATCAACGGTTTTGAAAATGTTCGAAGAGATCGAGTTAATGACTCACCCTTATACCAGCCGTCACATAAGTCTAATATCCGAAAACTATCGCTTCCGGGCATTTGTCACTTGAAATTAAACAGCGTTAACACAACCAATATTTTACGATCCCCACCCAGTTAGTGTACTAGAAATGACGTCGTTCGATTCCCCGTAGTAAGAGCGTTTCACAAAGGCAAATAAAATTCCTTATATGTATACACACGCTTAAATCCAGCATGTCCTATATTTATGTCCTTACGTCTGAGAATACAGCATTGTATCATGTCACTCGATTTATGGACCCGCGACTGTATAAGCAGCGAGAAACATTCCAGTTATTTCATATAACTTTTTGATATATGTTATGGAAAAAGTATGTGTTTCTTAACATTTAATCTTTTTTGGGTTAATTTTCGTGAAAAGTATTTTCTTCCATAATTTCAGCGGAAAAAGTCGATTTATTGCGGTATTTTTTAGGTAGCGTGCATGGAAACGTGAACAACGTGGCTCCAAAAGAAACAAAATTAAAGCTTTATGTACACTTTTTCGGTATATAACGTGCCCAAGCAATAAATTCGCTATTCCAGGATCGTACAGTAAAGTTTCAGTTTCTTTAAAAATATCCTTCTATGTCCGTACTGTAAATGAATTATTTTAGCTTATAATGTCATTCGGACTTGCGTTTCTGAATAAAAATTAAACGTTACAGTACGGTTTTATTCAATATCAATTTTTCGATCTCCCACAGCTCTTACAGCATGAAAGGTTTGTAAAATACTTTTAAGAGCCTCATTACAAATTAATGTTGTCCAGCGTGCGGCAATTTTAATAATTTATGGATTGTAAAGTACCAATTTCAAAAATGTTATTAATTGAAATTTCACGTTATTTTTACTTGATTTGTATTTAAACAACGTATTAAGTGTTAGAAATACGGAAATAAAATGTAATATACGATAGTCATGCCTACACCGATAGATAATCTCATTAACGTATTGATCAGGTGACTTTTTATCCCTGCGCTATCTCATTTAAAGCCGTGTAGTTTCATCGACCATTAAAATTCTGTACTAAAATATCAGATATACATACTACGCGTTATATTACTTTCTAAAAGAAAATGGAAAAATGCAACTTCATCAATCTCTACATAAGCCGTGTACTTTGAAAGTGATATAAGTCTAATTTCGAGGAAATCGATTATATAGTTCCTATGGTTATAAATTAATATAAGTAAACTACAAATAAATAGATAAAGAAAAGGGGACTTACACCACTTTCAAAATAAGATGTCAAATGTACATACCTTTTATGAGAAGCTTTCATTTTATCTTACTGTACCTCTCGAACGGCAACAACTATTACTCTGATGCAGACGTTCCAAATGAAGTTCAACTTGTTACGCTAGAAATCGAAGTTAAGCATCACAAATGATATCCTGAATATTTATAATATATTTTCGTTCTATTTTTTCATTTAGAAATACCATCAGTTTAGAGACATCTTATGTACGTTACATTGTACAGGGTGTCCAGCTACTGGTGTCAGAAACTTTAAGGGGTGATTCTACATTCCAAAGGACGAAATTGTATTGGAGGCTTCGTTTTCAAATTACTAACAGTAGAAAATTCGAGTTAGAAACGCCTGTAGTCAGGCAATATGCATACGTGCGATAAGCGTAGCGCAATACAGTACGGTCACGTACACTATAAGCTCCCAAAAAAATATACACTGTCACTTCGTCGTAAAAAAAAGTGACATGTAACACTTGCAGTCGAGTCGGGACTATCTTCTTGCAACACTTCATAAAAATGTACACACGAATTGTTGCACATTTTATCTAGTTACTCATTAAAATCTACAAAAGAGACTACAGCACACACATAGAATAAATACTAAATAAAATAACAAATTAATTTTAAACCCACTAAAGTAAATTAAATTATTTCCTTTACAAAAACACGGATACTCTTCTTTGAGGGCTATTTCACGTCGACTAGATGTGTTCGCGTTGACAACTATCACCGAACTAAGGAAACATTACTCGAAGCCCACGTAAAGGATAGAAATATAATAAAGATGTAGAAATAGCGAGTGGAAATGATACAACAAA